AGGGTCACATCACAGTGGAGTCAGCTGTCTTAACCGTGGCTTGTGTACTGCAAACAAATACCAGCTTCATCACTGTGTCTGTCATGCGACTCTGTTCCCCTTTCGGGCTCTGTCTTTACATTTATTTTGAAAGATGAAGCTCAGATTATGGTAAGGGGCGTTACATTTCCGACGAGTGCTTGCGGTGTTCGGCCAATCACAATGCACTGGGTCAGCTGGCCAATCAGAGCAGACTGCGCTTGTCGGAAGGAGGGACTTTGTAGAAAACTAAGCGTTTGAGAGAGGCGGAGCATAGAGGACCTACAATAATGTACAGTATTTGAAAAATAATGTGTTTTTTGAACATTAAAGCATGTCAACATATTCTGTTACACCAAATACACCAAATAATGAACTTTAAAAAAGCATCATATGACCCCTTTAAATATTTAGTAATTTAGTTATGTGCTCATCATTCGTTATTATTTTTTAAATATTTTTCTATTTAGCTAAAATTTAATTTTGTTTTAGTATAAGTCGTTTTAGTACTTTGTTTATTTCATTTAGCTGCTAAGTCAATATTTCACATTTTTGTTTAAGTTTGTTCTTTATCTAATATTTGTTTTATTTTAGCTTTATTTCAATTTACCTAAAGCAATTTATAATATTTTCATTTTAGGTTACAAATCCGTTTTCCTTATTAAAAAAATCAATATAAAAAACCTAGAAAAAAAATCAATGACATTTAATTCAGAAATTAAAAACATACTCATCATAAAGCAGGTGTATTCAAGTCATTGCATGTATGAATTGCATTTTTAATGTATTTTGACCCTTGCTCACATTTTATTTTGTTAGCTTGTGTACACTTAACACATTTCATAATTTTCTCTTATTTCAGAAAAAGCCCCTCACCGCTGTCATAAAAGAGGTTTGCGACAAGTAAGTGTGTTTTTTGAGGTGTTTGTGTGTTTTTCTATTGCTGAAAAATCCATGTATATTTTTCTATGATGTAAAATAGCTGTGTTTGTAAAGGGTGTTGTATTATTTTTGAAGGTGGAATCTTCCGGGTCCTGACAACTATGCCCTGCAATATGCAGATGGGATCCAGACGTACATCACTGAATCTGTAGGTCATTTCCACCATCTTGAGTGTATAACTTTGTGTATGAGCTTGTTAGAGTCTGTGTGGTGACTTGAATCCAGTAATGTGTGCTTATCTGACAGTGTATAATATTTGTTGTTGATCTTGGGTGGGGTCAGACGTGGACTTGATGTTGTTTGTCTGTCTGTATGGTGGGGATGTGACTGAGAGATGCTGAAAGTGTAATATGATGTATGTGTATCATCAGATGTGCGTGTGAATGAAGTGAGAGTGTGGAGATTGTGCGTTCCCAGACAAGTAGAGGCAAAGGCTTGAATTACAGTTGTGCACATAAACCACCAAGCCTTGGGCTGCATCCCAAATGGGCTTTTGGACACCCTAAGTAGAGCCCTTCAAATGTCAGCGTCATTAAGCAGCATCTGGAGCAGGTTTCCAGAAGCTCACTCTGAGAGTTTGAAAATAAACTGGAATAATGATGCAACACTATAGACAAAACTACACATCGTGAATCCTCTGCCATATTTAATCAACACTACTAAAGACTTTCTTTCTTTCTCTCTTTTTCTTTCTTTCTCTTTTTCTTTCTTTCTAGCTATCTGTCTTTCTCTCTTTCTTTTTAGCTGTCTTTCTTTCTTTCTCTCTTTTTCTTTCTTTCTAGCTGTCTGTCTTTCTCTTTCTTTTTAGCTGTCTTTCTTTATAACTTTTTTCTTTCTTTCTTTATAGCTGTCTTTCTTTTTTTTATAGCTGTTTTTCTTATAGCTTTCTTTTTCTTTTTAGCTCTTTCTTTCTTTATAGCTGTCTTTATAGTTTTCTTTCTCTCTTTCTTTTTCTTTCTTTCTTTCTTTCTCTCTTTTTCTTTCTTTCTTTCTCTCTTTTTCTTTTTCTTTTCTTTCTTTCTTTCTTTCTTTCTTTCATTCTCTCTCTTTTTAGCTCTTTCTTTCTTTATAGCTGTCTTTAGTTTTCTTTCTTTCTTTTTCTTTCTTTCTCTCTTTTTCTTTCTTTCTTTCATTCTATTTTTAGCTGTCTTTATAGTTTTCTTTCTTTCTTTCTTTCTTTATAGCTGTCTTTCTTTCTTTCTTCTTTCTTTATAGCTGTCTTTCTTTTTTTCTTTCTTTCCTTTTAGCTGTTTTTCTTTTCTTTTTTCTTTTCATTCTTTCTCTTTTCTTTTCATTTCTTTTCTTACTTTATAGCTTTCTTTCTTTCTGTCTGCCTTTATCTGTATCTATCTTTCTATGTCTGTCTGGGTTTTTTGGTTTCGTGCTGTGTTTGTCTGTCTCTTTGTTACACATTTGTGCCAATGATAATGATGTCTAATAATAACAGTATCACTTCCTGTACACTGACTGTTGGCTGCTTTTTGACTTTTGTTCTAGAACCGCCTAGACATCAAAAACGGCAGCATCCTGCGTTTAACCAAAGCACCAGTGAGTGTCACACAACCTCATGTGCCCAAAATGGTCATTTTGCAGCCAGAGTTTGACAGCGACAGTTCTTAACTTACATAGTGTATCTAAACACATCTGTTCACTCAGTCTTTGTGTTAGATTCAAATGTACACAACCACAGTAGCGTGTAATGGCCATGTTTTCTTGCTCGGTGATTTATAAGACTGTGTTTGTCAGGGCCGTTGTGCTGAAGATCTGTATAAAGGCATTCAGAGTTCAGACTCCGGCGTGCGCTGTGACTCTCTGAAGCTGCTGGCCGATGTCTCCACCGACATCACATTCGCTCAAGAGTTTATCAGCCGTGATGGACACTCCCTGCTCGTCAAGATAGTAGAGGACGCTCACGAGTCAGTTTCCCACCTGTCTTTGCCACATTTCTATGGTTTGGAGTGTTTTATTACAGCATCAATTTAAGATTCAACCGGTGAAAGTGTTTTGGTTTTTTTTGTGCAGGGCTCCTCTGATAATGACACACACTCTTACTGCTTTCATGGAGCTCATGGATCATGGCATTGTGTCCTGGGAGAATCTGTCCAGTGTCTTTATCAAAAAGGTACTAAAGCTTCACATACACTTCAACTCCATAATACAGTACGAAATGCAAAGCGCATTTAGAAGCATTTTCTGCGTGTTAAATGGTTACCTAGTTGCCTATTACCAAGACGACCATTTTTATCTGTTGACTTGTGTTCATTTTTCAGATCGCCGGTTTTGTGAATGCAAAGGTTCTAGACACGTCCATCCAGCAGGTGTCACTGGCTATCCTGGAGAGCATGGTGCTCAGCAGCAGTAGTCTGTTTAATGAGGTCAAACAAGAAATCACCCTGGAGAGACTCATTTCCCATCTGCAGGTGTAAGTACAGAAGAGCGCTTGCTTTAACTGTTTGCAGTATTACCAGTGTTTACTTTATGGGTGTGGAAGAGGAACTACAATAGTTGAGGGTGTGACATACACCACAGTAATGACAGTAGATGACAATGATGATCCTACATTAGGGTTTGAAAATGGTGACTAGCATGCAGTTTCAATAGTAGATGTTTAATAACGGTTCTCATTGCTTTCAGTACTGATATACAGCATATATCAACTGTAAATTGAATAATAATGAAAACAACAACAATAATGGTACATTTTTATAGTTAATTTTGCAAATTAATAGCATCAACGACTATTGTTGTTATATAGTATTATCATTGCAATCAAATTGCTTAGCAGTTGCATTACATTCAAAGTGCATTTCAAGAGAGAATTATTTCTAGAGGGCGTCATTGTCTTCTTTTCTGCTTAACACACAAATAAACGTTACCTCCCTTGTCATGCAAGTGAATGTTTCTTCCTCTTTCTGGAAAATACCTTCTGGTTTAGCTCATCATGTGGATATTTATCACGTTTAAGATTAGCATGTGTTGGATTTTTAAATCCGCATTCTACATCAACATAAATGTTTAATTTTCTCTGCTTTTGTCTAATGTACCGTAGAACAAACCAGCAGCTGCAGACTAAGGCCATGGCTCTGCTGATGGCGATGCTGCAGGCTGGTGGAGAGGCAGACAGACAGGTGAGAAGTTGAGAGGTTTTTGTTTTCGCTCTGATGATTTCTTGGTTTTGCTGCCACTGTCTGTTGCGACTCTAAACTCCCTTTATTAGTTAAAGGCTAATCATTGGTGTTTGAGAACTGTTTTGCTAGTACAACATTTCTATTAGAAGAAAGTGTGATTCAAATTTGCCATCACAGAAATAAATTACATTTCAAAAGATATTAAAATAGATGACGGTTGTTTTAAATTGTAATAATATATCACAATATTGCCGTTTTTACTGTATTTTTGATCAAATAAATGCTGCATAAGAGACATCTTTCAAAAACATTAAAAAATCTTACCAACCACAAATTTTAGAATGGTAGTGTATATTTTTGTGGCTTATGATACAACATTTCTAGCTGGAAAATGTTCTTGTGCAGGTAATTGATTTTGGACTCAGAAAATGCAAACAAACAAATAAATAAATATATTATAAAAAATTAATTATATATATATATATATATATATATATATACATTCAGTATCTCACAGAAGTGAGTACACCCCTCACATTTTTGTAAATATTTTATTATATCTTTTCATGTGACAACACTGAAGAAATGACACTTTGCTACAATGTAAAGTAGTGAGTGTACAGCTTGTATAACAGTGTAAATTTGCTGTCCCCTCAAAATAACTCAACACACAGCTAGTGTTGCTTTTGTGAACGAAAATTATGATTAAATATTGTCGTCAATGAACCTTTATAACGTGACGAAAACGAGACGAGACGCAACGTAAATGCTGGTCATGTGACGATGACTATAATTAAATGTATAATGCAAAATTGTTGACGAATAAAAACGAGACTAAATGTGATTTACAAAATAAAAACTATGCTAAAATGTCTCTTAATTTTCGTTGACCAAAACGAGATGAAACTAAATGTTATAACGTTATTTCGTCTCGTTTAGTCGCGTTATTATTATTATTTTGCAGTATTTCTGTTTCCGGTGTCTCACGTCAGGGGCTGCATCAGGTCGCACTGTGCAGACGCAGGCGACCTCACTTCCTCAAGCCCCACTCGCGGCATTATTTAGAGCGGTGTTTCCCAACCAGGGTGCTGTGTAAAAAATCCTTTTTTAATATTTTTAAATTGCTAAAATGTTCAAAAAAGCAGCTATTATATAATATCCATAAATAGAATTGCATTACTAAAAAGAGACTAAAATACCATTTTCATTGACTAAAACTAGACTAAATGTCATCAGTTTTCGTCGACTAAAACTAGACGAAAATAGTCATGGGTAATTCTGACTAAAATAAGACTAAAATGCTCAGACTTTTAGTTGACTAAAACTTGACTAGACTAAAAAGAGTATGAACGTGACTAAAACTAATAAAAACTAAAATGACAGCTTCACACAAAGACTAGACTAAAACTAAAATTAAAACAGGCCACCAAAAACAACACTACACACAGCCATTAATGTCTAAGCCACATTAATGTCTACTGGCCACAAAAGTGAGTACACCCCTAAGTGAAAATGTCCAAATTGGGCCCAAAGTGTCAATATTTTGTGTGGCCACCATTATTTTCCAGCACTGCCTTAACCCTCTTGGGCATGGAGTTCACCAGAGCTTCACAGGTTGCCACTGGAGTCCTCTTCCACTCCTCCAAGACGACATCACAGAGCTGGTGGATGTTAGATACCTTGCGCTCCTCCACCTTCCGTTTGAGGATGCCCCACAGATGCTCAATAGGGTTTAGGTCTGGAGACATGCTTGGCCAATCCATCACCTTTACGCTCAGCTTCTTTAGAAAGGCAGTGGTTGTCCTAGAGGTGTGTTTGGGGTCGTTATCATGTTGGAATACTGCCCTGCGGCCCATGTTATTGTTAACTAAAACTAACACTATTCAAAGTCATTGCCGATAATAATAAATAAATAAATAAATAATACTGGAATAAAATAAAATACAAATATTAGACACAAAATGTAAACTTAAAAAATATATATTTTATTTACTTAGTTACCAGGACAACATTTCTAATTTTCATAAGTTGAATTACTAAAAGTACTAAAGCTAAAATTTGACAAATAGGAATATTAAAATACAAAGAATAATAAAAGCACATAAGAAACTTACTAAACAAAATTACTGCTGAAATTTCTGCTTTGCCATCACGGGAATAAAATTAAATGCTGACCACAAACTTGATAATGTCATTTTACAGCTGCTGTAATTTTTATTTTTTTTTTAAATAAGTTGAATGTGCTGTGAATGCTGTTTCATGTTGACTTTAAAGGCATAGTTCACCCAAAAATTAAAACTCTGTCATTAATTACTCACCCTCATGTCATTCCAAACCCGTAAGACCTTCGTTCAACTTCGGAAAACAAATTAAGATATTTTTGATGAAATCCGAGAGCTTTCTGACCCTGCATAGACAGCAACACAACTACCACATTCAAGGCCCAGAAAGGTAGCAAGGACATCGTTAAAATAGTCCATGTGACATCAGTGGTACAACCGTAATGCTATGAAGCTATGAGAATACTTTTTGTGCGCAAAGAAAACAAAAATAATGACTTTATTCAACATGGACTATTTTAACTATGTCCTTACTACCTTTCTGGGCCTTGAAGGTATCAGATGCGTTGCTGTCTAATATGCAGAAAGCTCTTGGATTAAAATCTTCATTTTTGTTCAATGACACAACTTTCATTTTTGGGCGAACTATCCCTTTTGAAGATTCAAATAAGTCATCATAAAGCTAGTGTATTTTTAAAGTCTAATTGGCTATTATTTTAAAATCAAAGTGTTTTAATCACTTCTTGAAAGCATTCATTTGCAATTGAATCGCACAAGAGACGTATCTGAGAAGTGACCAGCTGCCTGCAGCAGTGATTTATAGTTTATAGAACAAATGGATATTGATCGGTTCATCTGGACGTGTCTGCGAAACGTCAAGCTAGTGCAATGACAAGCATGCTGCTCCTCGACCAAAGCGACAGACTCCTCCTTTAAGTGCTTTTGTGTTTATCAACATTCCCTAAATTGTTCCGTTTCCTTTTCTGATGTCAAAGAAAGCTTTCTTACTCCAGCCCAAACTATTCATCGGTGCAACAAAACAGACCTCCGTTTAATAACCGCTTTCAGGCTGTAAACCCTGTGACCTTTGTGACCTTTGGGATGGAGCGAGCGTCCAGCTGACCGGCCTGTCTTTTGTTTTCGCTGATCGTCGCCCCCACCACACCAACCTCGTGGGCAGGGGCTTTATAAAGGGGTATTAGAGGAACAAAAGGAATCCCGCTCCCTCGCAGAAAAACACATCAGCAGTAAACCACATCCCAAAAATAGCTTAGCGTTTTGAAGTGTCAAAATAGCATTTTCAGTGTTTAAAATGCCCTTGTTGTCTTTGTTCTGGAAGGTTTTTTGAAAACATTAACGTGTTAAGAAACATGTGGCGTGTGTTTAACGATTCAAGGGTTGTCTTGATGTCAAACCTGAGAAAAGTAGTCAAAGTTGAGCTCTTGTTTCGCCTCAGAAGGGGAATTAGGCTAACTGTGTGTGTTTTCTAATAACTTACTCACTTAACCGCCTTTTTTCTCTCTTTCTTTGCACCCTGACTGTGCTGTTTCTCTTTAACGACCATTAATAGCTGCTGGCATTTTGCTATTGCCGGCTGGTTTGCGGAGGCCTGTGAAGTGTGTGTGTGAGTTTATTGGTGGGCATCTAGAAGGGAGGGACCATACACTCTCTAACACACACACACACACACACACTGTGTCGCTGTGGTTGTGAGGGGACTGTAGTGCTTTCACTACAGCTGAGGTAGGATGAGTGTTTTGTCTCTTGTGTTGTAGGAATAGAATAAATATTTTAGTTGTATTAAGCAAGTTACGACGGAAGATGTTGATGTGATGTGGCTGTCAGTATGTTGATATGTATATTGTTTGAGTAGTATTGTGTCATTTATATGATTGAACTCTCTTTTGCTTGAGTTTGATAACAAGCTCAGTTTCTTTACATTGCAAGCATGTTATGCATATTAAATGCTTAATAGTGAAAGGATAACTTTAAAAAATGCTTTTTAAAAGCTTTTTCAGGCATTGTGCAGCATTCAGAAATTGCATTGACATTTATTAATGAATGGACTTCATAATAAACGGTTTAAGAATAATATTTTATATGTCATATTTTATCATGCTAAAATGAAATAAACACTTTTTACATTATATTTACTTAAAATTCACCAAAAATGTGTGAGAGACAAAGAGGTAACAATCAAATGTTAACTGGCCAAGTGGGCAGTTTTTAGTTTTTTTTTGGAAGATGCATTAATTTAAAAATCACTGATTACTTAAACTTAAGTAAACTTAAGTCTGTCGCATATATGATACCATTCAAGGTCAGTCTTTTTTATTTAAATTAATACTTTTATTCAGCAAGGGAGCATTAAATTGATCAAAAGTGACCGTAACCATTTCTATTTCAAATAAATTGTTCTTTTAAACTTTATATTAATTAAAGAAGCCATTGATAATACCATTAACATAACATTGATAATAATAAGAATTTTTTCTTGAGCACCAAATCAGCATATTCTTTTCTGAAGGAAAATTCAGCTTTGCTATCACAGCAATAAAATGAAACACTGACCACAAACTTTTGAGTTATCATATCATCAATTCAGTCAGTCATGTCCAGGACCAGTCCGATTTCTTTCTTTTTTTCTGTTTTCAAAAATGTGAGGACTTGAATAATACACTTACATGTTTTTCTTAATAACGTGGTTTTCTATAATATCTCTCAGGTCCGTAACATGTAAAAGATATCAGCAGTCTGAAGTGAGCAGCGTCTCTGTCGTGAGCGTTTACTCTCTTCCAGCTGAGCGAGCGTGTCATTGCAGTCCAGTCTGTCACAGCTGGACGCTCACTACAAGAAAGACCCATCATTTCAGTGTCCGTTTCTCCTCCCCTGCTGGTTTATTCAGGCTTCCCCATCTCCCCTTTTCAGTTCACCTTCATTTCTCTTGACCTGAACCCCAGAGACATGTTGTAGAGGGGTGAGCGAGGTTAAGCGGTCTGTGTGTGAGAGTTTATTGGAGGAGACAGACACGCTGTGGGACTTTTTCAGACAGTCACACACATTGCAAATATAACCCATCAGTTTGTTCTTTCTCTAAAGGTGATGCAGGTCGTCCGGGAGCAGATCACCAGGACTCTGTCCAGCAAACCCACGTCTCTAGAGCTCTTCAAGAATAAGGTGAACGCACTGAACTACAGCGAGATCCTCAAACTGAGACAGACGGAGAGACTCCACCAGGAAGAGACGCTTGCTCCACCTGTGCTGTAAGCAGTTTTTGAATCTTTGAATCAATTGAGCCAATTGCTTCACAAAATGATTCACGGTTTCAAAGCTCTCAAAATCAGTATTAATAGTATTGTTGCTAGTTTGTTTGTCTTTGCTTTCTTCAAGGATGCTTTGCATTTTTAGTTAGTAAAACATTTAAACTCAAATCTGTATTTGGTATCATCCTTCTGTTGTTAAAAATATCTACAAATTAATAAAACTCATCTAGGATGAGGTAAAAACCATGTAGATACTGATTCATGTACAGAGTGGTGAACCATTGAAGTATCTAACAGTTTCAAAACCGTTATTTGCGGTTTGATCAGTGGTCTGAAACAAATGATTCGAAGCGAAAGTTTTGAGTCTTCACAAGGAAGTGTTTCAAAAGCACCTATCACTAACTTTACAGAGCATGTGACTGGCACATATCTCTCCATCACACATGCATTTTCTTGTCTTTGTCAGTGAGCTGAAGGAACGTCTGAAGCCAGAGCTTCTGGAGCTCATCCGACAGCAGAGACTGAACCGTCTGTGTCACGGAACGCTCTTCCGGAAGATCAGCAGCCGACGGAGGCAAGGTGAGACGCCAAGATCCTCTCAGACAGCAGAAAAATATGATCAGGATCTGGAGCAGTTGTCATTGTTTTATGTCATCCCCCCCAGACAAGCTGTGGTATTGTCGGCTCTCTCCTAATCACAAAGTCCTGCACTATGGAGATGTGGAAGGGGAGAAGGAAACGCCCTCCATTGAGGCTCTTCAGGAAAAGAGTGAGTCTGGCTGCTTTAGAATGAGCTCTGTTTTTGAGTAGGTGACCGCTGACTTTAGTCAAATAAATCATTTCATTTTGATATCCCCTCAGTTCCTGTCGCAGATATCAAGAATGTGGTAACGGGGAAAGACTGTCCTCACATGAAGGAGAACAAGGGAAAACAGACTAAGGTATGATGATAAAGTTATTTTCTTTTAGTGGTTTCTATTCATTCTTAAAATTCAAATAAATTCAAAATTGACGAGAGATTCAATATTGTAATTCTAGGTGATAATTAATCATTTAGGGTTATCATGTTTAAATAAAAATATATAAAAGTTATTATTTATGTGGTGCTCTTAATATTTATATAAAAATAAATGCATTAAAATTAATGTATGTGTATGTGTGTATGTATATATATGTGTGTGTGTGTATATATATATATATATATATATATATATATATAT